TGTCTGTTTTCTTTCGCTGTGTGTTTCATCTCTTTCATCTCGGCTGTGCCTGGATGCGCTGTGTCAAGGCTGCGTGGCCTTCGATCCGCTCGGGTGGCCAGCGGTCCACCGTCGTCACCGCAATGACCCGCCGGCGTGCCTGTCACGGAGGACGGACGGTATACTGAGAGTGAATGACAGAACACATTTTATGGCACTTGACTGTTAGCACGCCTATGTACGCCTCTTAGTGCGCGTGAAGAGAACTCGTGAAATGTGCGTGCTCAGTGCTCAGTGCTCAGGCTGCCGCGCCTCGCGGTCGTGGGAGCCCAAGGGAAGTGGACCATCCGCAGCGATGCACCGAACCACAATTTTCACCTCCTCGCAGGGGACCAAGTTCCGCAACGGCTCGATCAGGAAGGACCACAAATCCACGCTGGTGCGGTGTTCGTAGAGCCGCAGCACTGCCAGCATCAGCGCGCTCAGCGACCCCGGCCGCTCGGATCGTCTTGGATCCCTTGACTCTCGCAGCTCTCGCTCCGTGCGCTCGGGTCGCGCGGAGCGCGGCCGCTCGGAGCGAGCCCGGAGACCGCCGGGGCCGGGGCCCCGATCCAAGGCCCGCTCGCCTGGGACGCGGTCTGGAGTTCGGTCTCCACATGCGAACCCCAGTCCTGCCAGCCCGGTCGCCCATGGCTGACATGGCCCGCATGGCCCACATGGCCCGCTTCGAAGGGGACGGGGCGGAAGGCCCGCCTCACGCCTTCCATTCCCGCAATCCATTCACTAAGACACACAAAGCGTCTTCATTACACCAGCTGAACTTGCTGACGTCTATTACGGATCTGTCGGCAGCTTACGTACTTGCCAGTCTTTAATGATGAGTGCCGATGGCAAACGGTTTTGTGGAACAATTAGTGGTGCGCTCATGGGTTGCTTGCCATGATGTTGCCGATGAGAGGACAAAGCCTGCACAGAAGCGATGAATGAAAACCCACATCTCGACCATCCGCGACCCTCAGACAGGCTTGCAGATGTGGCCCGTTTCTGACCTCTTTGGCATCAGGATGTTGCTACACCTGCCAGGCGCTCATCCCTTGGTACTGCCGCCAAGGGCACCTAGGATTTTCAACTGCAACTCGCATGGGCCAAGCTAACATCGGTCTTGGGCTCTGGCCAGCATCTCTTTTGCTAGAAGGGCTGCTGCAGCTGTGGCCCCAAGAGCAGCGACTTCGCACAATTATGCAATTCACGCTAAATGGACAGACGTGAAAGGCAGCCGGCAGATGCCTGTCATGGCAATGTCCAGGAATTGGCCTTGACCTAATAGGCAGATCTGACATGGCTCCGTGCAAACGCTGTGTGTTCAACTTTTTGCTTCCAAGCGACGGTTGACGCCGAAGGACGGGACTTCCCGCCGGCATCTTCCCTGAGGAGCTCTGTAGCCAGGTCATTCATTATGTATACTATAGTAGTTTCCATTTTATTTTCCATTATCCCTATATAACCCTTATATGTAACAGTAGTTTCCATTTTGTTTTCCATTATCCCTATATAACCCCTATATGTAACAGTAGTTTCCATTTTATTTTCCATTATCCCTATATAACCCCTATATGTAAGAGTAGTTTCCATTTTATTTTCCATTATCACTATATAACCCCTATATGTAACAGTAGTTTCCATTTTATTTTCCATTATCCCTCTATAACCCCTATATGTAACAGTAGTTTCCATTTTATTTTCCATTATCGCTATATAACCCCTATATGTAACAGTAGTTTCCATTTTATTTTCCATTATCTCTATATAGCCCGTATATGTAACAGTAGTTTCCATTTTATTTTCCATTATCCCTATATAACCCCTATATGTAAGAGTAGTTTCCATTGTATTTTCCATTATCCCTATATAACCACTATATGTAACAGTAGTTTCCATTTTATTTTCCATTATCCCTATATAACCCCTATATGTAACAGTAGTTTCCATTGTATTTTCCATTATCCCTATTTAACCCCTATATGTAAGAGTAGTTTCCATTTTATTTTCCATTATCCCTATATAACCCTTATATGTAACAGTAGTTTCCATTTTGTTTTCCATTATCCCTATATAACCCCTATATGTAACAGTAGTTTCCAT